TTCCCTTGAGGGGGTCCAAGCAGTGCCTATAACAACCACTTTGGGGTTTATTCCCTCACCAAGGAAGGGAAAATCCAGAATTGCCAGCTCTCCTTTAGGTTCACTGCTACCTCAGTGCAGCATTCCACAAACATGGCTTAAAATGACACAAAACCCCCAATTAGTTACAGCTAAGATCAAACCAGGAAAAATATGATTGACTGCTGTCAATGCCTGATTTTAATGGTGATTTAGATCAGTAGGAAAACTGGATTTAATCTATTTTAACCTTGTTCTGTATCCAGGAGCTCCTCAAAAACCCTGACTGTTCAAACAGCTCAATTAGCAAACACATCAGCGACTGTGTGAACTTCCTACTACACCTTAGTTCAACAAAAAGACCGAGAAAGTGAAAAGGTTGCTCAGAACAGTTAGCAGGTCACGTATTCCTTCAGCACTGAAGCTGTTCCAAAACAGAAATCAGAAAGTAATGCTCCAAGTATGAAAACAGAATTCAGTGACATTCCCAAAGTTTAAAATTCTTCAGCTGAAAGAAGCAGAACATGGAGGAAAAGGGGAATTTTTCCAGACAATAGGGATTTATAGATGACTTCTTAAAGCACACCATGTCAATGAACTAATTTTTTGGTTGAACACAACTAAACTTTCAGAAATTGAAAAACATCGAAGTGCACTCAAAGAAATTAGGTTGAGACATTGAACTGTCCACTGACACCAGAGGAGAGCTCCTGCTCCTTCCCATCCTTTCCCAACACCATAAAATGCCAGTCCAGATTTTTAACCCCTCAGAAATTCCCTCTGCAGAAGCAAAACTTTAGTTTTTATTTCAGCAAGTCAGAAAATTGAGGAACCTCAGGCATTCTGTGTGAGAACCACACGGAGCTGCTCAGCTGCCTGTGGAGCTTTGGGAGAAACAGGAATTATGTTCCAGCATCAGTCACGGGAAGGGAACCATGGAATCCTCTGGGTTGGAAAACATCCCCAAGCCCATCCATTCCAAGCTCTGCCAAGGCCACCCCTGCCGTGTCCCCAGGTGCCACATCCACAGGGGTTGGAATCCCTGCAGGGATGGGCACTCAGCCCTGCCCTGGGCAGCTGTGCCAGGGCTGGGAACCTTTCCATGGAGGAATATTCCCAAAATCCACCCTGGGAACCTTTCCATGGAGGAATATTCCCAAAATCCACCCTGAGCTGCCCTGGCCCAGCCTGGGCCGTTCCCTCTGCTCCTGTCCCTGCTCCCTGTTCCCAGCCCGACCCCCTGGCTGTCCCCTCCTGGCAGGAGCTGTCCCCTGACCCTCCTGGGGACCTGCTGGCCCCAGGGCTGCTCCTGCTGGATCTCTCCCTGCCTGCCCTGAGGTTCTCAGCAAGATGGATCAGCCCATGGAAGCTCAGGGCCAGGACACAAAGGCAGCAGGAGCAGGATCTCCCCTTTAGGGACCTGTCACACCCCTAAACCCAGAGCTAAACCAGCCTGCAGGGAATTCCAAGCTATGCCAGCCAAAAACCAGGGATATTTAGTCCTCAGTGCTCCCACTCACCTCTGACCACACATGGCCACCCTTTCCCCACTCCTGTTCACTGAAGGACAACAAAAACCCCAAACCCCCTCTGATTCCCTTCATTTTTGCACGCTCAGTACCCTGGCAAGGATATCCTGCAGGAACCTGGCTGGTGCATCCCTTCACGGAACACAGGGAACAGCAGGGATTGGCACTTCTGGAAACGACAGCAGGTACTGAGCTGCCTCTGCTCAACACAAAAGCCTGACCCCAGCTCTTCCAGTGGGGATCAGAAGATCTCATTCTCTCACTTACATTTCACTCCACCACTATAAAGGCTGAATTTACAAAACCCATTCTCTTTCAGCTGCTAATCAAGCTTTTCAGCACCAACCTTTTCTTCTCAGGAGGCATTAAAATACTTATTTTGGAGAAAATCTGTGTGTATCAGCATTCCCTCCACCAAAAGCACCCTGTAAGCAGCTTAATGCAGGATACTGGAACAGCCACAAAGCTTCAGCTGATCTTAAGTTAGAGATATTTTCTTTCCAGTTTATGCCTGGAACAAACTTCTGGCATGTTGGAGTATGAGGAATCATGTAAAAGGATCCCTAACACAGGTTATTAACCCCAAATTTAATATATATTCAAAATCTTTTTTTTTTTCCTCTTTGTCTGTCCTGTATTCAAATCGCTTCTGCAAAAGTGAAGCAGCACTTTTGGTGAATTTAGTTTCACTTTCTGGCCTCCAGCCCTGCTTTCTGAAGGGCCTTCCTGTGCAACCCAACAAGTTCCAGAGCCACACTGGGCTTGGAGGGCTGTGCCTGTGGATGGGCAGGATGGGCTCTGTGCACCCCCAAACAGCAGCACGAGGTTCTAGGATGGCTCTGAGGGCAGGATGGGCTCTGTGCACCCCTCACAAGGTTCTAGGATGGCTCTGAGGGCAGGATGGGCTCTGTGCACCCCTCACAAGGTTCTAGGATGGCTCTGAGGGCAGGATGGGCTCTGTGCACCCCTCACAAGGTTCTAGGATGGCTCTGAGGGCAGGATGGGCTCTGTGCACCCCCAAACAGCAGCACAATGTCTGCCACTGGCACAAAGGATGGCAAAGAGGGCAGGAACCATCAGCCTGCCACCTTCCCATCCATACTTTGGTGATCTGCAGCTCCTCCAGGCCGGTGGCTGCCACCACAGCTATGAGGAAATGCTATGCTAAGGAGAATTCCCACTCTGCTCCCTGTGGGTTTCCTAAGTTCATGAAATCCTGGCATGCTTGGGGCTGGAAGGAACCCTAGAGATCATCCATTTCCAGCTCTGCCAGGGGCAGGGACACAAACCGAGCTGGAAACTGTATCCAGGACCTTAAATCACTCTGAGTATCAATTTTTTAAATCATTACTGTTTCCCCATGAAGATGCAACAGTTGCCTGGGGATGTACTCACCCACAGGCTGATCAAACGCCGCCCCTGCCCCAAAAGAATAAGGAATTCACCTCCAAAAAGGCCAAGATGAAACCCCTGAGGTCCCAGAATTGGGACCTCAGCCACAGGAGCCACATCCACAAGGGAAAAGCCACAGGTGGGCAGCCCCACATCCCGGTGGGACCTCCCTGCCCTGGGGCTGGCACAGCGAGCAGGGACTGACCCAGCTCAGCCCCACACGACACAGAGAGATTGTCACAGGAAATTGGGGTTAATTCACCAAAAAATGGACAAAAACTCCAGCCAAACATCCCCAATACTCTGATGCCCACAGCAAAGGCACCACTGCCTCTCCAGCTCTGTAGGAGTGGGTTTCAAACCCACATTTTTGGGATCAGACCTGTGATTCCCTCTGGAGATACAAAACCACCCAGGCAGGTTCTTAGAACTTCTAAGATTAGCTCAGGACGTGTTGTCCCAACAACAGGAAGAGTGCTCCATTAAAGGTTTGGTTTGGAAGGGAAAGAGAAAGCAATTTGAGGGGAAAACCCCATCCATGCAGGAATTTCAAGGGGAGAAGCTCCATCTGTAAAATCCAAAATCTGGACACTCCCAGCTCGCCCTGGGAGCAATACCTGTCCCACAAATTTTACTTTACCAAAGTATACTTTTTAAATTTCCATTTCCAACACGTTTGTCAGCACTGTTAGAGCAGCAAACAGCCCCGAGATTGCGATCTGGGGATAATTTGGGGAAAACTTCAGAGAATATCCATTCACCAGCCCCCTCCTAAAAGGGAAAGAGCTGCTCCGATTAGGACGGGCCAATCCAACCCCAGCAACCCAGCCCTGCGATAAAGAGGCTTTTTTCCCATTTCCCCATTATTTCCCTATCATTATCATCTTACATCCCACAACACAACTCCCATTATCCCCAGCTAACCCCCCCATCCCCGCAAATCCTGGGAATTCCACCAGAAAGCTCTCCCGGGCTGCCTTTTAAGCAATTCCCCTTTGTTTTAGGGATTACAAAAAAGATATTTAAAGGAAATAAAGCGCTGGTTTAGCTTATGCGCTCCTATAAGAACCGGGAGGCGCCGCGCTCGGTCCCGCCCGCTCCCCTCAGGCGCCTTCAGCCCCCGGGACGGCCCCGAACGGGAGCGGGCGGCTCCCTGAGGGGAGCGGGCGGGACCGCCGGTGCCCGCGGGCCTCCGCTCCCCGCAACAAACTTGCGGCGCCGCGCAACAAGTTCCCGGGCGGGCCCCCGCCGCTCTCACCTCAGCCATGGTCGCTGGTATTCCCGGGCAGGGGTCACATCGCCGGCAAGCGCCGCCGGGTCCCGGGGGGAGCGGCGGGAGCAGCGGGGACGGGACCGGGAGCGGCGGCGGGGCGGGAGGGGCGTGGCCACGTTACGCACGACGTCACCGCGCACCGCGGGAAGCGGGCAGGGCGCGTGCGGCGCCTGTCAGTCAGGGGAGGCCACGCCTATCCGCGCCTGTCAGTCAACGGGAGGACACGCCCACTCGTATGTAATATAGCGCTGTTCAACCTGTCAGTCAGGGCGGAGGACGCGCCCCCTTCCTGTCACTTGGGGGATTGGCCACGCCCTGGCCTGTCACGCAACGCACAGGCAAGGCTGCATCTGTCACTCAAAGTCTAAGGCCACCTCCTTACACGTCAATCAAAGCGCACACCGCTCCCCACCGCCTGCCACTCAGCACACACGCCACGCCCCTCGTTTGTCACGACGCCACAGGCCCCGCCTGTCACTCAAACCGCAAGGCCACGCCCCCAGCCCGCCGAGGCGCGGCCGCCGCGGCCCCCTCATGCCCATATATGTCATTCGGCACAAGCCACGCCCCCTCACGTGTCACAAGGAGCAAGCCCCGCCCCTCACCTGGCAATCACGCTGAGGCCACGCCTCCTCTGAGCTCATTCAATGCCCGGGCCCCGCCCCGGCCGGTGCTCGGTGCCGAAGCTCCCGCTCACCACGGCCCCCGAGTGCCCCCGGCCCCGCCCGCCGCCTCGGCATCATCGCCCCGCTCCCCCTCCGCAGCCCGGCCGCGGCCGCCGTACTCACGCGGGGAGCCGCAGAGGCGCGGGGGGAGTCTCATCGGCCGTGAGGCGAACGGGGGGTCCTCGGGGAACGGGGGCTCTTGCTGGGCGTGAGGCTCTTGGGAGACACAATAACAGCTCCAGGTTACACACAACACCCGTAACACCACCCCGAATAAACAGAACAAAGATGCGGACCCGGCGGTCGTTCACCGTGTCCTCCGTGCAGCCCCAGTGCCTCACCTGCCCCGCTCAGCGATGTCCCCGGGCCGGCGCGGGGCAGCGCCCGACGCGCCCGTCGGGCATCGCGGCCGTGTCACAGTGAGGACACCGCGGCCTCGGCCGTGCCCCTGCAGAGCCGCGGCTCACGCGCGCCCGGCGCCTCCGCCCAGGAGCCGCATCCCCGACCCTCACACGGTCCCCGCGGGCGGTGCCGAAAGAGCCGGCGGGCGCGACTTTGCTGACTCAGGGGTGAATCCCCCGCGAGCGAGGCGCCGCAGCCCCGCGGGAAGGCCGAGCGGCGGGCGGGGCGGTGTCGCGGCGGGCGCGGGCAGCGCCGGTTCGGTGACACGGGGCGGGGGCGGGGGCGGGACCCGAACCGGGGCCGGGGACGGCCCGGGGCTGCGGCCGCGAGCACAGCGCGGCCCGCGCGCCGCACGCCGACCAATCGGCGCCGCCCTTGCTGGCGGCCAATCGGCGCGCCGCGTCTTTGGCGGCGTTGTCACGGTAACGGCGCGACGCCATGCAGGGGCCGCGGCCTCCGCGGTGAGTGGGAGCGGTCCGGCCTAAAACTGCAACGTTATGGAAATTAAAAAGATTTAAAGCCCTAAAATGCCTGGGAATAAATGATAAATTGTAGTACAGACCCAGTTATAACAGATCATTAGTTATAATTTATGATGGGAAAAGTTCCTTTGGTATAAATGGATTACATCCCTTAAAATACTTAGTAATACATAAGTTATAATATATAATTAATTATATTCTGTAATATTAAATTATACTTAATAAATTACACAAATGTCCAAATTTCTTAATTATAAATGGTTTACATCCTTTAAAACAAAAGGTAGCATTTAATGAATTGTAATATGTAATAAATTATATTCTATAATGTCATAATAATTCAATGGTAAAAAGCCTTTATTATAAATGGTTTACATATTTGAATTAATGGGTAATAGATAATGAATTGTAGTATATAATAAATTATATTCTATAATAAATTGTGCTCTATAATAAATTATGAGGCATAAGAAGTAATAACAAATAAATAGTCAAAAGCCCTATTTATAAATGGTCAAAATCCTTTATAATAATTGGTAATATGTAATTAATTATTATGCACAATAAATTATAACAAATGGCTGCACTCCTTTCTTATAAATGCTTAAGATCCCTTGAAATAATTATTAATATATAATGAATTATAATATATCATAAATTATAATCATTAAGTAGCTGCAGTCCCACAATCCCGTATTATAAATGATTTGCATCCCTTATAATAATTGGTAATACATAAAAATTATAATACATAACAAATTACATTATATACTATCATAATATATAATAGTTTATGATAAATTGTTACAAATATTTTATTTATTACATTATTATGTTGATTATGAAGTGGTTTACATCCCTTAAAATAATTGGCAATATATAATCAATTATAATAATCCTTTCTTATAAATGGTTAAAATCCTTTAAAATAGTTGGTAGTAAATAATAAGTTATAAAAGAAATTATAAAAATCCTTTCTTATAAGCAGCTGACATTCTTTAAAATATTTGGTAATATATAATCAATTATAACCATTGTATATTATAAATGATTGATGTCCTTTAAAATAATTGATAATATATAATCAGTTATAAGAATTCTTTCTTATAAATAGTTAAAATCCTTTAAAATAATCAGCAATTATACAGTATTTATTAAAGATAAGTTGTATTATATAAGAAATGGTAAAAATCCTTTCTTATAAAAAGTTTACATCCTTTAAAATATTAGGTAATATATAATATATTATAATATTTAGGAAATTGTTAAAATCCTTGCTTATTTACATCCTTAAAATATTAGGCAATATATAATCTCTTATAATGCTTAAGAAATTGTAAAAATACTTTCTTATAAAAATTTTGCATCCTTTAAAATATTAGGTGATATATAATGTATTATAATATTAAAGAAATGTAAAAATCCTTTCTTATAAATGATTTACATCCTTTAAAATATTTCGTAATATATAATCTATTATAATATTTATGAAATGTAAAAATACTTTCTTATAAAAAGTTTACATCCTTTATAATATTAGGTAATAGATAATCAATTATAATAATCCTTTCTTATAAATGGTTAAATTTTGTTAAAATCCTTTTAAATATTGGGGATTATAAGTAATTATTAAAAATAAGTTTTAATATAATAAATTGTAAAAATCCTTTCTTATAAATGGCTTACATCCTTTAAAATATTAGGTAATATATAATGTATTATAATGTTAAAGAAATTGTAAAAATACTTTCTTATAAAAAGTTTACATCCTCTAAAATATTAGGTAATATATAATCTATTATAATATTTAGGAAATGGTAAAAATCCTTTCTTATAAATGATTTATATCCTTTAAAATATTAGGTAATATATAATCTATTATAATATTTAAGAAGTGGTAAAAATCCTTTATTATAAAAAGTTCACATCCTTTATAATATTACGAAATATATCATCTATTATAATATCTAAGAAAACATAAAAATCCTTCATTACATATGGTTTAAGTCCCTTATAATTTTAGGTAATATATAATAAATGATAATATTTAAGAAATTGTAAAAATCCTTTCTTATAAATGGTTTGCATCCTTTAAAATATAGGTGATATAAATATAAAATAAATATATAAATATAAGTATATAAATTTTAGGTAATATATAATAAAATATTTAGGAAATGGTAAAACTCCTTTATTATAGATGGTTTAAGTCCTTTACAATAGCAGGTAACAGTTTGATATTTACAAATGAATGTTGCCGTGTGTTGTTTGCAGGGCGTGGCCGGGCGCCAGCCGAGCCCCGAGCCCCCGCGGAGCCTCCTCGGCCTCCTCGGCCTCGCTGGGCACAGCCCCCCAGGGCGGGGTCCTCGGGGGCAGCCTGGGAGCCCCACAGGTGAGGGGGGAGAGCCAGAATCCACCCGGGGCGTGGCCTGCAATGGTTGGCTTGGGAAAGGTGGGGAGAGCCCCAAATCCACGTGCAGGAACGATCTCAGAAACCCTGGAATGGTTGGGTTGGGAAAGGTGGGGAGAGCCCCAAATCCACGTGCAGGAACGATCTCAGAAACCCTGGAATGGTTGGGTTGGGAAAGGTGGGGAGAGCCCCAAATCCACGTGCAGGAAGGATCTCAGAAACCCTGGAATGGTTGGGTTGGGAAAGGTGGGGAGAGCCCCAAATCCACGTGCAGGAACGATCTCAGAAACCCTGGAATGGTTGGGTTGGGAAAGGTGGGGAGAGCCCCAAATCCACGTGCAGGAACGATCTCAGAAACCCTGGAATGGTTGGGTTGGGAAAGGTGGGGAGAACCAAAAAGCCCTGGAATGGTTGGGTTGGACACCCTTGGGAAGAGCCCCAAATCCACCTGTGGGAAGAACCCAAGAGCCCTGGAATGGTTGGGCTGAGAAAGGTGGGAAGGGCCCCAAATCCACGTGCAGGAAAGATCTCCGAAACCCTGGAATGGTTGGGTTGGGAAAGGTGGGAAAAGCCCAAAATCCACCTGTGGGAGGGACCAGAAAGCCCTGGAATGGTTGGGTTGGGAAAGGTGGGAAGAGCCCCAAATCCACGTGCAGGAAGGATCTCAGAAACCCTGGAATAGTTAGGTTGGGCACCTTGGGAAAAGTGGGAAAAGTCCAAAAAGCACCTGCAGGAAGAACCAAAAATCCCTGGAATGCTTGGGTTGGGAAAGGTGGGAAGAACCCCAAATCCACCTGTGGGAAGAACTGGAATAGTTGGGGTGGGTGCTCCTGGGAAAGGTGGGAAAAGCCCAAAATCCACCTGTGGGAAAAACCAAAGAGCCCTGAAATTCTTGGGATGGAAAAAGTGGGAAGAGCCCCAGATCCATGTGCAGGAAGGTTCTCAGAAACCCTGGAATAGTTGGGTTGGGAAAAGTGGGAAGAGCCCCAAATCCATGTGCAGGAAGGATCTCAGCAACCCTGGAATTATTGGGTTGGGAAAGGTGGGAAGGCCTGGAAGGGTTGGGTTGCCCCTCCAAGCCCAGTGACAGGAGTGGCTTTTCCCAAAGAATCCCAAAAACTGGGGCTGGTCCTGCAGGAAGGCAGGAATTCAAACCCCTTCCAGGTGCCCTCCCTATAACACAGGGAAATGATCCTGAAAATTCTTCCAATTTTTCTCCAGGTTTTTGATGAGGAAGGGAAGAATGTGACACCACAACCCCTCTTCCAGCCAGACCCAAATGCTGCCAGGCAAGAAAAGTTTTATTTAAAAAAAATAAAGCATTATAAGTACTTTTTAAAAAGTAAAGTATGTATTTTAAAGTATTTTATCTGTAAGTGCAGACAGGCTTTTATGCAAAATTATAAAATATAGAAATTAAAATATCGAATTAAGATATTAAAAATACCAGTTCAACTATCAAAATATGTTTAACATAATAAAAATTTTCTGCTTTAATAATATTTAAGCAAGTTACCTCTGTGTGGTTATGTGCATCCATCTCCAAAAATGCTCTTGAACAAAAAATTTGGAGTTAAAACTCCTAAATTATGTTTCACTACACTTTCATTTACAAACCTCCAGCACAGAGGGAAAAAACAAACTCAGTGGTATTTGGGCTGACATACTCAATTAAGTCATGCAAAGAAGGGAAATAATTATTGGTGTTTTAAATGAAAAATCCTGAGCCACAGCATGATCAAAATCAAGGAATAATTGTAATTGTTCACAATTTATAATTACAATTGTAACCACTGATTTCTGGATGAAGATTGCTTTTTCTGCCATGTTTCCCAGGCTGGCTGTTCCAAAGGACAATCCCAGGGCTTGGGATAGCAACCAGGATCAAATATATATAAAAAATAACTTTTAAATTATAATTAAAATACTAATAATTAAATATAGATACTAATAATATTTAAATATAAACACTAATAATTAAAACACTAATAATTATAGATACTAATAATATTTAAATATAAACACTAATAATTTAAACACTAATAATTAAATGCAGATATTAATAATATTTAAATATAAATACTAATAATTTAAACACTAATAATTAAATAGAAATTATA